AAGGGACACCCTTTTTAAAAAAAAAAAAAAAAAAAAAAAAAAAAAAAAAAGAGAGAGAGAATGGAGGGGGTGGTTGACAATTAGTCTTTGCCTTTAAAAATCAAAAGATGACACAGAAAAGTATTCTTTTGGCACTTTCTCCCTCTACTTGCAAACCAAGTGTAGATAGTAGAGTTAATCCAGCAGTCAAAAGCTAGGTGATCTGTAGTAGAGAATTACTGTGAACCTACCAAAGAGTTGGAAGCAAATTTCCCCATGGCTGAAGTTTTAACCTTGTGTACTGCTTTAGGAATATGAAGCAGGCCGTGTTTTTAATTTATATCATAGACGCTATGAATCTAGCTCAGCGATAATGTACTTGCCTGGTATGTACAACTTCCTGAGTTCGAACCCCAGCATTAGGGGAGGATGGTGAATTATATCATGAAACATATACGTGGTATTGAATGTATTCTTGTTTTTGAGATTAGACTTTACACAAAGTACCTTTCCCACACACAGCTCATGAGGTATAGAATCATTGATTTTTCTTCCTTAATGAAAGTTTCTTAAATAGGGTCTGTTTTTCTGCATTCGCACTGATCATATCTTTGTTCTGGTTTGTTCTGCCTGACATTTGGAATTCAGTGAGTCCCACTAAACAGGCTCCTTGCATTAGTCTTGACGCTTCACACCTCTTCTCTACTTTGGAATCCCAGCATTTTTTTTATAGGAGACATGACTCATTGTATTACTCTTCTTTTTAATTTATTTTTATTTAATGTGTATGAGTATGTATGTAACTGCACCCATATCATGCCATGCCAGAAGAAGGCAGAACAGGGTGTTGGATCCCCTGGTTAACTACCATGTGGGTGGTGGGATTCAAACCCAAGCCCTATACTAGAGCAGCCAGTGCTCTTAATCAGTGAGCCATCTCTCCAGCCCGCATTTTATTGCTCTTAACTTGACCTTGTCTTTCCCACTTTAGGTTTCAATTCTGCAGAGCTGCCACATCCTACCCCCTTACAGGTGGGCCCCTGGGAGGCAAAGGGGGTAAGCCATAAAGTTTGGGAAAGCCAAGGTTGCGTACCTCTTGAACCAGAAAACAAGAAGGGCTCGGTAACTGCACAAACTGCATATGATGTGAGCAAAGCACTTTAGACAGTGGCCAAATGCTTAGTCTGTGACTTTGGGGTTCAGTCATGGTCCAGAGTTACTATGTAGGCTGGTGACGCCATGAGAGTACCAGGCATCATTCAACATGTGCAGGTGCTCCAGCAGTTTCAAGATATGCCAAGTCCATGCAGTTCAGGATCCTGATGCCTTCTCAAGAGTGCCAGCTTGGACAGCTTTGGCCCCATCTTCCAGCTCATCAAGGAGCCACTCCTGGGCCACTGAGTAGAAGGTACAACCATAAATAGCTGACACCAGGGCCCCAGCGTCCAGGGTGGTCACGATGTTCTGTGTCTGTGTCTGAGGCAGCATCTTCTGCCACTGAGCAAGCTGCACCTGTTGCATAACCCGCAGTTTCTTGGGCGTTAATTTCTCCAACACCAGGCTGTTGGGCTGAGCAAGTGGCTTCTCCAGAGGGTCACCAACTCCAGGCGCTGCCATGTTGCTGCTCCTCCCTAAGCAGCAACCCCGGCAATTTTTTAAAATTGCAGAGTCCACAGAACTGCCTTAGTAGCTTCTTTTGCCCTTCAGACTGGAGAATACAGCCCTCCTTGGTCTCTGCTCCCACGCTCCCACGCCTAGCTAGCTGCCTTCTCCCTTGCTGTCCTTAAACCATGTAAGGCATTTTCCAGTTCCTTCTCAGCCTCTCTCCTTTGGCCTCTGGGACCTGAAGTCTGTCCAGTTGCCTACCATTTTCTTACTTTGCCTTGCTAGTGGCTTCATACATTTCAAGTCTCTGTTTAACACTCTTCCAAAGCTCCCTTGAATCAGGCTCCCCGTTTTATGCTTCCATGGCATGCATCCTGTTCGTAGAACCTATAATAATTTCTTTTGTGTCTGTCCTCCCTCATGTAGATGATGTATTACCAAAGACAACAGGTAGTTGAATAATTTCCAGAAGACTGTTGAGGTCTGTGAGTGCTGTTGGGGAAACATCACAAAGTGCATTTGAGATTACAATAAGCAATAACCTTTGGAGTAAAAATAATATGTGCTACCTTTACAGAGCTGTCATTGTGTCAGGCAGGTACTGTTTGTGCAACAAATACTTTGATCTAGGTGATAGTATTGCTCTTTCTTCTAGATTTTTTTTGTTTATTTATGTGTATGTGTGTATATGCCACGTGTGCAGATACTTGAGATCAGAAGATGGTGTTAGATCCTCTGGAACTGGAGTTACAGGCAGCTATGAGCTTCCTAATGTGGGTTCTGGGAACTGAACTGGAGTCCTCTGGAAGAACAGCAAGGCTGTTAACTACTAAGCCATCATTCCAGCCCAATATTACTATTTTACAGAGGGAAAAAAAAAAATGTGAGTTTCTGGAAAGTACAGTAAGAGATTCGAAGTTAAACAGATTAAAAGTGCTGAAGCACGATCTGATTCCATGGCTCCCTGACTAAGGAGTGTTGCTTAGTGACATAGTGCCTATACACTGCTACTTAGTGATCAGGGTCAATAGTACAGTGCCTACACACTGCTGCTTAGTGACCAGGGTCAGCAGCACTCTGCACAGTGCCTATACACTGCTAGATTCTCCCTTAAAGGAAGGTTGAGTACATACTTATAAATATGTTGAATTTAAATTTCAATTCCTTTCACTTTTAAAACCTTTAAAAAGATTATCATTGCTGGGCATAGTAGCACACATCTCTAATTGTATGGCTTGGGAGGCAGAGGCAAGGGGATCTCAAGTTGCAGACCAACCTGGGCTAGTAGGACAGTCTTAAAAAGTTAATGGTGGGGACTGGAGAGATGGCTCAGTGCTTATGAGCACCTGCTGCTTTTGCAGAGGACTTGGTTCATTCACTACAATGGCAGCTCATGACCAACCATGAAGTTACTAGTAAAATAATTAAAGTTTGGAAACTCCCTTGGGAGTTTAGCAGCTCCCATGTCATACCTGCTGAGTGAAGCTAGGTTGCTTTGTTTTTGTTTTGATTTTGAAACAGGATCTCCATAGCCCATGCTGGACTGGACCTCACTAGATAGCTCAGACCGACCTCACCCCTGTGCAGTCCTGTTCCAGCCCTTCCAGTGCTGGAGTTAAAGGCCGAGTCACCACTCTAGCTTCGTTTAAGTGTCCAGACTTAGTGTCCATGATGCCATTTGTAGTTCTCCAACTTTGCACATCACTTTCATGATGACTTTTCATACACCCACCCAAGACACAGACTATCATTACAATAGTTGAAGAGTTCCTTATTAGATACCAACTCAAAGGATTTAATGACTTCCTGTGTTTATAATATTGTACAGTATCCCAACAGCTTTGTTTAAGGGAATAAAGTCTTTGGTATTTCCAGTTAGAATCATTTTAGAAGGAATAAAAAAAATGTCTTCTAAATTAACACATTTTAGAGCATGGTTACTTATTAGTATGGGTTGAGTCTGATTGGGTACACCCTAATGGGTGTTCAGCTAAGCATGGGAACTAGAATTCACCAGAGCCCTTAATAAAAGACCACAGGACAAAATATA